CCGAAGCCAAAAAGCATGTGGCCCAACAGATATCATCCGCCCTGGCCAAAGATGCTGCACCTACCTTCGACATCAAAACGGGCCAGATCAAGTCCAAGAAAGTGCCCAAGGAAAAAACGGCAGAAGAAAATGCTATGAAGGAACTGAAAACTCTACAGAACAAGCTGCATGTCATTTATGGTGTGTGTCTTTTTTCACATGCCAGGCTCATGAATTTCTATATTTGCTGATCTTCAATCTAAGGGTGAAGAACATGGCCAATGACCGTGAAAGGTGCTTGCGAGAGTTTGTTGAGCACAAGGTGCGAAATTGCAGTGAATTGGCTACTAGACTTCAATCATATGTTTTGACTTTGGGGAGTTGCTGATATATTGATTTCCCATGAATTCCCTGGACCTAAGGTGAGATGCCTCGAGGACCATCAATCATTGATCCAGAAGCACCTTGAGGATATCGAGGAGAAAGTTGGCATTCCGGTATCAGAGATCGATGCAGCAGCAGCTACCGACTACATCAACCGTCTCAAAGGTGAACTGAAAACTGTGGACATTGATCTTCGTGATGCAAAAAGACGGATTAGTGCGGCCAAGCCCAAGAAACCTAAAAAGGTTGAGGAGGAGTTTGAATCGGAGCAATCTGAATCCGAGTAGGGTCCTGATCGTTGTCTTGCCCAGCCTGGGGGTGTTGAAAGGAAAGCCTACACTGAGTGCACAACAGTCCATCAATATACTTATCACATTGATTCCCCTGTTGAGTAATCATGTATTGTCCCAGAGCAAAGTGGCATGGACCATGTCAGTTTTGGTGTCCAGTGCAAGCTCCACCAAATGTATGTGTGTGTGTCACACCTTTCTGTGTTTTCATGTTCCTAACCACAAGAACCTTTCACAGTAGGGGGTCACCAGCTTTTGTTCGTGTCAGTCAAAGCATTCCGCCCGTTCCCTTGGAGCCAATCAAGTGGCTGGACACTTGTGATCTCTTTTGCAGCCTGGCGTTGCATCGTGGATGGTGCTGTATGATCAGCAGTGACCACGAAGTGGTGTTAATTTGATCGACTGGGGGTGAGGCCAAGAAGGCCTTCTGAAGTGAAAAGATTCAGAAGAAACGGATCTTAGAAAACGCATGAAAACGCATTGATGTGCAATATGACTCTTACAAACACAGGAATGCATGTCTTCGTGGATATGCTATGTATATACACTGGTAGCGCCATATCTTTCAATGGGTGTCCAACATGCATTCAATCAACAGGTTGAACATCCAATGTCCCCTTGATCACTGATCATGAACATCGATATAGTAACACCGAACCATGAACTGCAAATATATCGACAAAACAGGTGTAACCCTATAAAGCTGGTCCAGGTTGAAATGGCTGAGATCCTGAGATCTTTAAATCTTATGTTGTAACAAATCTTCGAACACCAAACATCACCAAATAGTTTACCTGGATGTTGATGTTCCTTCCGCCTGGGCCACCGGAATGGACCTGGTGGAGGAGTTCCTTGAATTGACAAGAACAGTATCTTGACTGAGTAGATCAAGCTTGTCATGATCTTTTCTCAGTTCGCTGTTCTGCATTGATGAGTTCAAAAGTGTGGGCAAGGTGAGTGTGACGACAATAGTGAGCCTTTTTGTGATTCTCCGAAAGCGGATTCCTGGTAGATGCCTACCGATGCACAGTTGCATATAACAGATTGGGAATCTTTGACAAGTTTGTCTGTCCTGTTCATTCTTTGCCCCACTACAGGAGAAACTTGCGAAACTTGGTGGACCTTCTTGGAGACGATGAGGAAAAGAATTATGCTCGTACGTTCTGGCGGTGGCTTGACAAGCAACCCTGGAGAAGAATGCTTCCACTGCCATTGGAGCACCTTATCTTGCAGATTCGATTCTTGTTTCATGCAAGCCGATTGACTTGCTGGCATGATTGCTGCTCAATTGCCCAGGATCCCAGTTCTTTTGCAAGATATGGCACGCGCACAGCCAGTTTATCTATCATCATGGCATGTATTCCTTCCGAGCGATGTGAACCTTGTTTGTTGGAACTTGTTTGTTGGCTTTGGGGGGGGTCCAACTGGCCAAATTGAAATTTGGTGGGTTCGGTTTGTTGCATATCAATCTGATCTGCTCAAGAATCTGAGGATTTCATCTGTATATCACTACAGCTTCGACCTCTTCAAGGAAAAGCTTGTTGGCCCAGATGGTGTGCCTTGGTCATCCTTTCGAACACACATGTGTGCAGTGGTCAGTGCTTCAAGATTGTTCAATGCAATCCAAGTAAGGCTATCAGTGAGTTTTGGAATTCCCACAAAGGGACAGAGTGGTATCAATGCCATCCAGTGCTCAATGACCCTGCTTCTGGGCTTGTATATCGTAAGCTGTTGAATACGCATCCCCTGAAAAACTTCGTAGATGTTTGGAACCCAGGAGGTGAATTTAGATATGGTGATCCCCATTGCCGTCCACGGGGACGAAGCTGATTCGCATCGGAGGAGGTCATTTTCGATCTTGACATTTTACAGCCTCACAACAAGTGGGACCATTTTTGAGAATAAATTCCTCACGTACTGTCTGGACAACAGTGTCGCCACAGAAACTACAGCCTCTACACTGGAGCGCTGGGTTGCTCATAGCTTGTCAGAACTACAAGAGGGATTCTTTAGCCAAGTTGACCCTTGGGGGCAGGACTTCCCAAGGAAGAATCGAAGTGGCCCAATTTGCGATGGCTGGAAGTTCATCGTCGCTATGGTGAAGGGGGACGAGAAATGGCACCAAAGAGCTTTTCGGACAACAAAGTCTTGGGTAAGTCGTGATCCTTGCATCCATTGTGGGGCATCAAGCGCGGCAAATAGTGGTGAGCTGCTCTACACCAGCTTTGGCCCCCTTGCTGGGCACAGATCCACCTTGAGAAGCACCACCACATTTGTTTCAGAAGTTTGCCAAATGCAAGTATGGACAACCATCCCAGGTTTCAACCTTTCGATGGTATGCTACGACTGGCTTCACGTGACTGACTTATGCATTGTGCCTGAGTGCGGGGCTTCAGCATTGAAGCTTGCTTTAACAGGAGTTTGGACAGTGACTTGCATGCATGTGGATTTGTTTTGATGGGGCTCGATGTGAGGATGGTACTCATATCTCATCGTTCCAATGTCTTTGGATCGGGGAGTCAAGATGAGAAACTTCGTCGGGCCTTTGTGATGTTCTCGAAGGCCTGTCGGGAATGTCGGATCAGTGCCCTGGTGTCATCCTTGTGTATAGTTGCGGTACACTTGTTGCTCACACCTTTGCACATTGTTGATTTTCCTGAACTGAGGAAACAAAGGGCAATTTTTCTCCGTGAAGCTTTGCTGTGATCGATCAAACCATTGAAATTATTAACGTGTTTTGTTTGTAGTTCTGGTTTTGTCAGTCCTGACCGAATCTCAGGAAAAACCTTTACCCAAATGGCCCAAGTTCTTATCCAACTTTTGCTCAGAAACATATGAATGGATCTGATGCTTGGCTTAGCTTTTGGGATATGCTCAACAGCAGGCATGTCACACGCAGCAAATCACATAAGGAATGTGTTGTGCTAGCCTGGTGGCTGCATCAATTGACATTGAAGCTGGCGGATGAATACCCGGAGGATGGAAACATGCAGTAACTTAGTTGATGTTGTACTTCACTTTTGGATTCAGCTTAGACTATCTCCCTGACTGAGGCTGATGGCCGCAGTCTTCCTCAATCTTGTTCTGATGAGAAGTGCATTGAGCAAATCAAACAATCCTGGACGGTTCACGACATTGACGCAAAGCAACCTGGACCAGTTGCAGCGATCTGCATATCTATTCCGAGCAGCCCACAACAGCAACTAGGCCTTATACTGAAGGTCAATCTGTTAATCCTGAGACATGTTGCCTGGATCTCGTTTGATTCCAGGCCTTGCGAATGATGCCATGGAAAGTGGCAAACTATTGTGGAAACTCCGCCCGAAATACCACAAGTTCCTTGGTTGATGTTGTGTTTTGTGCCCTGGTGTGTCTTCAAGTTGTGTGAGCCTGATGTGTATTTATTTAAGGCTCGACCATATAGTATGGGATCAAGCACCTCAGATCTCGCCTCTCCATGCCTCATGCTACATGGACGAGGACGGCATGGGCCAGATTAAGAGGCTGGCTGCACAGGCCAATCCAGTTTCCCTGGGGTACACTGTGCTCCAGCGCTATAGCGCCTATACGTGTACAAAGTGGTTGCGCCAACTGGCGGGTTGATGATAAAGAAAACTCCTCCATCAAAGATATCACCACTTGAATCTGCAGTTGGTTCAATCATGCCGGGTCGACCTCCTCCAGCTTCTGCGCAAAAAGGTGGCAAAGGCCGCGTGTGCTCTGCTGGTGGGTGGGAAAGATTTGAGGAAAGCCTTAAACTCCTTAAACATCTTAAGTCATCATAAATCCATGTGTGAAAGTTATAGCATCCATGGTTTTCCTCACATCTGGGGACAGTGGGTCTCAACAAAGTACACATGTGTGGAAACACCCTCCAACAGGTCAACACTGGTACCTTTGGGGTATGTGGTTACTAAGATTGTTAAGAGGCTTCTACAGGCAGCCTCTTAAGGAACCCATTTTCAAAAAAACAGTAGTGACCTGTTGGAGGGTGCTGGTAGTATATGATTGAAAGTCGCTTAATTGATCCAATTGCACTCGTTTTTTTTGTTTTTTTCCACCATGGGGCAAGCCATTGTGACATATCGCTTTTGCATGTATGGGCTGAAGCACTTTAAAGCCATTGTCAAGGTAAATGGTGTTTTCACATCATGGTTTTGGTGTTTTCTTGTGTTTTCAAACTGTGCTGAATGTCCTGGCCACCAGGGCCAAGTTCTTTCACATGTTTGAGAAAGTGGTGCGTTTAAGAGGGGGGGTAGGGCGGTCACACAAATAGTGGCGTTTCCAATCCATCCGTTCACGGGAGTGCGAAGCCGCAGCAACCGCTGTGGGCGTGGAGCGAACATCATGGCAGGTGCGAACTCAGGGTAGGCCATTGGTGCCTCATTGGTCGTCCGGTCGTAAAGGTACGAAAGACCAGGACCTTGACCCCAGGACAGGACTAACATGGACAAACATTTCTTCCAGAAAGACATGCACAAAACAGTAACATGGACCAAGGATGTTGGAAGGATTGGAAAGGATGCCATGATCAAAAGCCGGACGGCAAGACTGGATGTTTGAGGTTGTGCCTGATATTATACAATAACCGAAGTTACCCAACGGGTTGCATCGTGCTGTGGATTGCTCTCAACGGGTCTTTGTTCTTCCACGGACAGATTGTGTTAAGAGTGGCGGTCTTGTTGATGTCAGACGTCCCCATTTTCTTCCCCATGAGGGTGCTATTGTCGTGGACGTCTTTGTTAAAGCGTTGATGCACCCAAAACCAAGAGTTCCTCTTACCTGGACACGTGCACAATCAAATATCAGGGGCGAGCCCGATGTATTTTTTCGGCTAGTGTCGGGAGAGATGGTACAATGGCTAAGTTGGCATGCTTTGTATTGAGGACTTGCCAGTCCAAATGCTAGTCCATGTTGTTTAGTCTCGAGTGGAAGACGTCACCGGCGTAACCGATGTTCGTCCAATCAACATCACCAGTTGCAGCTGATTCAGGGTGCAGTGTCCGGCAACACGCGGTTTTTGTAAGAAGGCATCATGAAATTCTCTAAGCTGTGGATGTGGTCAGCCGAAAGCTTCAGGTTTGGTGCTGGACCAAAGCTTCAGCCGGGACGCCCGAAATGATGCTCCAGTCGATGCCGAACTTCAGATACGTTGGCGTTGGCGTGAAAATTTCACGGTGAAATCAGATGCCGTTGGCGTTTGGGCCTCGTCCCAAAGCATCCCTGGCTGCCAGAGGAGCTTTCAAAATTATCGTTTCCAATTTGTTGGGGCAGAGGGTAGGGCGTGACGTGAGGCGACCGAATTGCAGTTGCTTGGTTCAGATATCCAAGAATGTCAGGATGGTGTGAAGATGGTTGTGCAATGTTGTGCACTTGGTTAAGAATTGTTAAGAGGTGGTTGTGTAATTTTCAGTTTCTCTGGAATATATTTAAATACATACGTGTGTGTGTGTGTGTGTTTGTGTGCGTATGTGTCAGGTATGATGGGCTGGATCATATTCTCGAGCATCATTTTGGACCACCAGCTTGGGAGCTGCTCCTGCATCCTTTTAGTTCTTCACTGGTTTTGGTTGGTCGATCCTCACCCGTTTCGCCACCCGTTCTGAACTCCTGCGCGCCACTGGCGGCTCTCCTCGCTGCGGGCGGTGACTCGCAGCGAGTTGCGCCGAGACCGAGGCTCTTTTTGTTGTGCTGCGCTCTGTGGATCGCGCGGGCTTAGAGGCCATCTGGAAGATCCGGCAGAAGAATTGGAGGTGAGACTCTTCATGAGACGCCTGGATGAGGCCTTTGCAAGGTGTTGTCCAGTTTCCTCAACCACAGGATGTAGAATAGGAAGGGATAGGAAGGGGCACGATTTGTGGGATAATCACACTCCTTGGAAATCATCATGGAATTGCGGAAGTGCATGGCATGGCCCTCAGTTCAGATCAAACCGGTTTTCACTCACTCCACTTCCGCCCATGATGATTTCAGGGAGTGTATTTGTTTTTGAACGCCAAAAAGACGGCGAGACCATGGCCCCGTTGCTCAGGAAGTTGGCGAGAGATCCCATACTTCCTCAATGAGTCGCTCCAGAGTCCCTCAGACTGCAGTCCTTCTTCGTCACCGGTGGACCATCTGGAGGACCTAGAGAGGTTGAGCAGCCCTATAGCCTATCCCATAATTACGTGCCACTATATCATACTACCAGGACCTCCTGTCGGGGTGCCCTGTCTGGAAGCCTAGGCCGGTAGTGTGGGGTAGTCCATTGGACACCCCGACAGGAGGGTCCAGGTATACTATCTAGGCTCTAAGATTCGGTCGGCAGTGATCAGTTAGGTCGGTCAGCCCCTTTTGGACGGTTCTTGATCAGGTGTCGGGGGGGCGTTATGACTAATGGGCCTGACTGAAGCAAACAGCCCGCGTGTTGTCGCGGTCTATCGCGAAAGAACAACCTTTATCATAATACTCCAAATGAGCAACCTCATCTAATTACATTTAGTTCAATCAAAGTAAAGGGTCAGGTTGCCCAACTTGCTTTAAATCAGAGTTAGCTCGGGAACCAGATAGGCCCTCCGGGAACATCCGTAGCATTAAGTTGAGCAACAAAATCCATTCCGCTGCTCGCACAACCAGTTACAGACTGTTGGACCTTGAAACTGCCTCCAGTTTGATGATGTTTCCTTGAACTGTGTTGGTCACTGGCGCAAGCTTGGTCTGATTCGCCTCGCCAGCCGAGGCAGCGAAAGTTGGTCGCTCTGCGCGTTTTGCCTCCAGCGCTTCGCACGGGATTTCGACCTGGTGGGTGTCTCCAAGCGTGGCGCTTACTTGCCTTTCTTGCAGCTGCAGGGCGAGCAGGCAAGCGCCCGCGCCGAGGGAGGGCATGCAAGTGAACTCAAGTTCATTGAGCCTATAATAATAATAACTATAACAATAATGATAATAATAATATATGTATAAATTGCGTAAATTGTTTCATCATTGTGTGTTTCTTTGGGGGGGTATATCTTAGACAAATACAGGGTTGACAGTGAAATTACGGGGTAAATCAATTCATTTTGAGGATCAGTTCTGAGTAGCACGTCCTAAACATTCGCACCAGTTTAATGCTTCGCAGCAATAAGTCCTTCTCTCAAGAAGACAATCGTCTTATTGATCTTATTGAGCTGCTTTTTCGCATACTATGTTTTCAATCTCCCAAAGAAATCATCAACGCATCCAACACCTCCACTTGCTCACAGCATCAAGCCAGTCTCAGCTTCACAGCTTCCAGGTCTTCGCTTTCCACCTGGATCCGGAACGCCCCGCCGCCGCGTCGAAGAGTCCGGTGTTGCAGATGGAGGCGGAGCTTCCCTCGGCGCTGCATGCGTGGCTGACGATTTGTGGCTGGGCAGATCGAACCGATCCGAAGGTCATCAAAAGATCCCAAGGATTTTTCCATATTATGATGCCAGTCCGGACTGCCGATCAGGCCAGGGGTGGTTGACTGGGGGTCAAATGTAGGCATATATGCCAGTCCCATGGAGTGTTTGGCGATAGTAATCTAGACTGTTGATGTATTTACATACTACATGGACATGTAGAACCATTCTGGTAGCGCTGGTAGGGGGGTTACGAATCAATTGTCAACATGGACTGATTGATGAGTTGGTTGTGATTTCTTTGGTGTCCTTTTGCTGACAGTGTTTCGGGAGCTGCTTTAGATTGGTTGCAACATGTTCCAAATGACATTTACCTGAACATACCTGAACCATATGAATGGTCCATCGATTTGTTCTTCAACTCCCTGGAAAGGCGTATAAACACATTTGTTTGTGCGAAGGCTGTATTTGGACAGCATTTTATCGTATGGACATTTTAATTAACGAATTAGCGTATTTAGCCGTATGGACAAAAAACAATACCGTACAAAAGCGTACCCATATGAAACCCAAACTTTATCAACATTTTATCGACAAAAATCCAAACAATTATATTGATAAAACCCAATCAAACCCAATATTCGGAGGACTTTTAGAAAAAAATAATGTTTGACAAAAAAGGCCGGATGCGCGGGTTTTTGTGCGAACGTGTTTGAACAAAAAAAATGCACATGTGGATTCCCTGGTCCCAAAATAATATAGGCCTTGCAAGGTACAGAAATCGGCAACAACAAGTCAGGGGCGGAATCCAGTTTCATTTCTGTTTCGGACACTCTAATTAAGCCGGTGGAGGATACCCTAAGCGGGCTACTATGTCGTCGGTGGAAGATTGACCAACGGGTGTTGGTTGCCCCTCGTCGTGTGTTGGTTCTTCAACTGTGTCCCAGCACCTTCAAAAGGGGTCGCCAATGGAAGCCCCTACACTACCTAGGGATCTCCATTGGACACCTCTTTGAAGGTCCAGGTCCAAGTGATATATGTCATAATATGAACCCAGCGGACCAGCGGATGTCCAGGTTTAGGACATCCATATGGTTCTCTCCCGTTTTGAGGTCAGCCTCTAGCGCTGTGGGCTGCCTGCGGCGCGAGGAACGCCACTGGCGGCGTTTCTGCAGCCGATGGAATGCAGATCGCGAAGGTGGGGGATGAAGCCAGGGATGCCACAAGCCTTCCATGCGATTCAAATGGTCCATGGCTATTCGGATGGCTTCCAATCAATTGGGGGCATGGCTTTAATGTGCTTTAGCCCGGTTAGCTTGAACCAGCTTGGCTTTCTATTCTTGTTTAGTTCGCATCTACACTGGCTCCACAAACTAAATGGTCATTACTTTATGGTCCAGGGTCCTTTCGTTCAGGGACTACTCTTTTTGGCCAATTGAAATGTAAACCTTTCTGTCCGGAGTGACTGGAGTCCCGTGACCCGACATTCTGGTCTCAGAGGTGTGACTGCCAGGCGGTTTTCCTGGATCTCCTGCTTCCGAGACAAAGCCAGTTGCCTCCAACATCAGGTCAACCTGATGGTCTTAGGGTCAAGGGGCCAAATCTTGCGATCCGATCCATCGATTCCGTCGATTGGGTCGACCCTGGCCTTCGGAGGCGCTGCAAAAAGCTTGTTCGTCTGGCTTCTTCTCGGCCGGGGTCGCGCAGAAACGGTTCCGAAGACGTGGCAGAAGTCTTTGAACTTAAAGAACTTAGAGCAGGCTTGAACTGTTCATCCTTCATGGCCGTTCTCCCCCCACGTGAAGGAGGAAGGGGCCAGGGGCCCACAGTCTGCCAGACAGTTGACCATTCTCATCTCCGAGGAACAGCAAAACCTGGAGCTTCGGGAAGCCTTACGCTTCTCGGACCGGCAAGTCAAGTTCTTGTTCCTGTTCCGCTGCTTTGTTGATATCGTGAGCGGGAAATAGTGTGTTCCAAAGGTGTTCAGAAAGTGTGAGGAATTGACATGCCATTTACTGTAGTGTGTGGAGAAGTGTTTGGCAATTGAAAGTTCGGTTGGTTGCAAGGTCCTTCATGAGTATTTTTGCCAGGAAAAAGGACTGCGCATCTCTCAGGAAAAGGTCTTGACAGCAGTGACAGCCGTTCCCAACTTCCGCGAAACTCTCTCTACAAATGGCATTGAGCACCTCCCGGTTTTTTCCTGAAACCAAGGGCATAGATGGCATGTTACTATTAGTTGGTTGATTAATGGAGAGGATACCCCAAATGTACAACCAATAGGTCGTCTGGTACCCAGACGACCCGTCTCTTCCCAAAAGGACATCACTGACCTTCCGGGTTTCTTGCTCCACACCGCTCCACACGGCTGAGGGGAAAAGGCGGTGATGCCTTTGAACGGCGAGGCATAGGCTATGCTAGCTGCGAGGCGGCGCAGTGGGGCAAATTCCCGCAGCTTTGGTGTGTGATCATGTGGTCATTTGAGGGGATAGCCCTGTCAAGGTTGATGGCATGAGGTTGACTCGCACGACTCGCACGACTCGAGGTTTGTCCAAACGTAGATTGTTCTAGAATGTTTATGTTTTAGATTCGACCATCACATTGTGGCTGCCCCCTGGAGATGTTTCAATATCTTTCAATCCAGAACCCAATCGTTCAGAATTCTGGGCCGGAAGTCCATCCTGACTTGAAGAACTCTCACTATCTCATATTGTCTCATGGTAAGACCGGACTTCTGGACTGCAGTCGGACATGAAGGAACGTCAAGTCACTCAACACTCAACCTCCTCAGGACTGGGAAAACCAAAAAGGGATCCAGCACGCGGGATCGAAGGATCGAGCGATCGAGGGTTAAGCCCTCGAAGTCTACACGGTCAAACATCCCCTCACTGAAGCAACCATCCAGTGAGTGGATGTTGGCATCTCTATCCTCCAATACCCACCCCAACATGTGATTCCTGGTAGTGCTTTCTGTGTTCAGGTGCTTTTTTTCAAGCACCCCCCTGGCCGCCGTGGAGAAAGGCCACCTGTGCGGCTTCGTCTTCCAGTGACGCTTCTGCCAAAGTGCTGGAAGCGCGGCCCAAGTGACGATCAACTGCTCCGGGTCCTTCGAATGAGCAGAGAAACTCGTCGACATGGCTCTTGTAGCCAAAGGATTGAAGACTCAAGGGACCCAGATCGTTGGCCATATTCCGCCATCTTCATCCAGTCTCTCGGTCGTGTCATTGAGTAAAACATTCTTCGTGTCCGATCGACGAAGATCTTCTTAAACGTTTGGGGTTCTGGAGGGTTCTGGGGAGGGCACAGATGCCCCTGCCCTATGTTCTTGAAGAGGGACGGCCCTCGATCGTTTGGCCACGGTAGATTGTGCTGGGTGGTGGTTTCAGAATGTTTCAGGTATGTTCATGTTCAAACCTTTGCTTGGGAGTATTGAAACGTTTCGTTTTCGTTTTTCAACCACCAAGCAGAATGCATTTTGGGACTCCAAGGCGGATGGGGAAGGAAATGGATGTTTGCCGACGAAGAGAGATTGATCCCTTGTTTCTGAGGGAAGTTGGAGGAATGGGGGATGGCTCATCCGCATAATCCACATATCAGCACACATCACCCAAACCATATCGACGGTTGGCTGTGGACCTTTGAACCAATCATACAAGCTGCCCCAAGCTGCCTGCCATCTGGACTGCCCCAGTTCCTAAACATCTCCCAGGAAAGCTGGAAGACGTTTGCAATCCGACCTTCAGCTTATAGACAGCGATGGCCAGCACCAGTCGTCACATGTTTGGCATCTCCCTCTAATTCTCACACCTCTCGGTTTGGACGTGGCTTTGTTGCGAAGGCCCCTGAAACGGCACGTCGTCACTGGCGCCGTCACGACCCCGTGGGTCAACACCCACCATGGAGGATAACGTAGTTTAGATCGTAATTCGCTGCGGTTCGATCACGTAAGACGGTCGGACCCTGAAGAGGAGCCCTCACCCAGGGCCCTGGTCCCGTCATCGACCCAGAAAAATCGGTTGGCTGGTCAGCTCGCTGTCACAAAGGGTGAGGCTCCCGGACTGCTGATGGTTGCGGTTTGAAGGCTAAGAAGCTTTGGAGTCCTTCAGCTGCGCTCGTCATCGCAACACTCCTGCAGCTGCAGGTGTGTTGCCAAGTGTGTCCACGGTGATCCAGTTATAGTTCATTCCTTCACACTGCAAAACCTTGGCTAACGGTACGACTTTCCCTTCTTCAAAAGCACCAAACTACCGCCGCACGAGCGAGTGAAAAAAAAAAAACATACGTGGGGCGCGGCTCCGACTGGAACCTTTCGGGAAGAACGAGCCAAGCCGATGACTGGCTGCGGGTGTTTTGGATGAACAGAGAATGAGAGATGTAATGCATAATGACTTCGATCCTCTGACACCTGCACTTGTGAATGAACTCTACAGGTCTAGTCTTTTGGAGGTCTTTGAACAAAAAACAACCATAATCTATACTCTGGTAGTGACACCAACTCTAGTGACACCATGGTATTTTGGCGTGATCCAACTGCAGCAGTGCCACTAGGTTCATCGCAATGGCCGATGCTTTGGGAACAACCGCAGGATGGTTCGTTGGTTGAGCATGTTGAGAGAGAGGATGCACATAATTACTTTATAATAATCATAAAATCATTAGACTTAAAAGACAAAATACCAATGCAAACATATATGTCGATCTCATCCTACCTCCAAATGGGGGTTCGATCTCGTCCATGCCATTCACTTGGGATCGATCTACAGTACTCCCATGCCTCATGGACAAACCATTCTGCGAATTCCATGCCGATCGTTCCCGATCCTGGAAATCAGCGTCGCCCGCTCTGTCCGCGCAAATTTGCGCAGAAGTCTCGTGCGAGCTCTCTCTGGCAGTGGAGTAGTGCCCTGAACCGGGACCTCTCTCCGATTCGTCATGCGGAGTGGGCTGTTCCCATCACTTGCACATCGAAACGTGGGTGTGTTGTCCAGCTCAGATATGGTTGTGTACACATATCATAGAAGTGCTGGTGTGTTCCACGCATGGTGTCAGTGTCGCTATGTCTCTCGATCCTCTCTCCAGAGGGGTCACGTTTGTCGAAGGGGGGCTTCATCCCATCCACTGCCCGCCTTCTCGGGCTTCACAGGCTCGCGATCGGCCCCAAAAGGAGCGTTGGGGATGGGATGGGATGTCGGTGCGCCGAAGAGTTGGCCGAAACGCATACTGTAATAGAGTACACCTGGTCTCTTGAGAACAACCTGGGTAGGAGGTGGTTAGGTTGGAGGCCATGGCTAGTAGGTGGGAGGCCATTGCTTCTAGGGATACTTTTCTAGTATTTTCTAGTTATACATAAACCTTTTGGGGGGGATGATTGAACCCGCGTTTGGCTCTTTCAGACCCATCGATGGAGTCTTGACGTCTTTTTCCCCCAGTCTGGCGTCAGACGGGACTGTGCACAACATCACATGGGGTCAGTGCCGGATCTGTGGCAGCAGGACTCCAAAGTAGCCAGCTGGACTCGGACGACTCGGACTTGTTGCAAGTGAACACAGTGAGTGCTGCGACAGTGAGTGCCACATCCCAATGAAATTGGAAGGACGTCTCGAAAGGAAGCTTCAGCACATCAATTTTTGCAGATCGATGCTTTGAGGAGTGTCTTTGTGGTCGGCTATGGATGACGGGTCCTTATGCACCAAAGATGTGCATTCCATGCCGCCGTTGGTTTGGGTTCCAGCAGATCGCAGGTTCAATGCAAGAAGTATATGCCCTGACTAGAGACATGGACCGCATGAAGACAATAGAGGTGCCAAGACCAATTGTTGATTGCTCCATGAAGAGTCAACAGCTCTGAAAACTCACAGCTCTGACAAGTATCAACCTGAATCGACCTGAATCAGCTTCTTTCAACAACATCGGCACCAACAAACACGAGTCTTTCTTTGACAAGATCATGGTTCAAGACCAAAATTATGTATGTATCACTGTCAGAAATAAAATAACACCCAGACACAATGAATCTGTGCTAAACACCATAACTAATTTAAACAAAAAAGGAAACAAACACATCCAAACAGCCAAAAATCACTGAAAACGTATCACTTCACAAAACAACCCCAAAGAAAAGACCAAAACGCCATCACTGTCATCGTCCGTCCGCGGATGTGGTCCCAACGTACGAGCCTCGGTGGTCGGGATGATAGGTGCTAAGCTAAAGGTGAACCAAGTGGCTTGGTGGAAACAGGGAGTTTCTGAGGGAGTCAAGTAAGTAGTTGTGGTTTTGGTTTGGGGTCATGGCCAAATCATGTTCTAGGGTACTTTGGGTTGATGTTTGTCCAGGTTAGATGATATGGGAGTTGATGTAAGGGGGTGGGGGGGTGTACGGGGGGTTCAACCTATAGATGCAGTCCAGTGTTTGTATATTATATGTTATATTAATTTCTTCAACAATCTTCAACATCAACTGCGAAGATATCGGAAGATTGAGAAGCTCAAGAAGAGGGAGGCCCAACATTTTGTTTGGTCTCACGGAAAGCATTTATGCAAAGACACACCTTCATTCCTTTTCAACCCATTTAATGCACCGCGAGACATGGGGAATTCAGCAGATTTCATGGGAACAGGAGACATTCGGCATTGATTTCATGTGAGACATTGGGGCAACTTGCTGTTGACCAAGGCATGTTGGGACGAAGATGGACCGGGCTTTTATGATAGATGACCGACTCACCTGGAGATTAAACAATGATCTTCCTGGGTCGGAGACGATGGGACATGTTCGCACAGTTTGTGGCAGCGAGGCGAGCGGAGCTAGCTGGTTGTTTGCAAACTGTTCGATTCACTGCCTGAGACAGGAGCTTGAGCTTAAACTTCTTGGGTTCAGGGTCATGATTCACTTGGGTCGGTCATTTGTCTTCAAAAGAAGTCTCACCTTATTGATCTCGAGGCTGAGAAATGGACTTTGAAAACTTCCTGCGCGGTGTCCGCAACGTTTGGGACAAGCTGCAGGCCAGGTGCAGAGTGGTGCGGGGATGGATCTTACACCCTAACAGCCTTCTCAGAGCTTCTCGTAGAAGTCAGCGACCGGTGGCCGGGAAGAAGGAAGCCAATGACCATGGTTTTTTTCCGATTAGGAAGAGGTTGAAGGAGGACCATGAGTGCACATGGGTGAACCACGAGCGTGCATTCGACGGTTGTTCCCAGGTCGACCATGGCTGGTTGTGGTGTTTCACTTGCTTCCACCTTATAGATTTTAGCTTGAAGTCAGCAACCCACAGCTCAACCCACGGCTGCTTCAACCGGTGGGACCCTTTGGACGACGGGATCGCATCGCGCCAGGCGCTGGGCACCACCTGCACGCCGCAAGAAGCGCGCCAGGCGCACGATCGGCCGATCGCCTTGGTTCCTAGTAGCGATG